CACCTTCTGGGTCAGCTCCACTGTGTGCGGACAACCTGGTACTTCTGCCTCTCACAAATAACGCCCCAGTTCCCCGTCAACTGTATTCTCATTTTGTTTTTTGTTTGTGTGCTCCCTTTTGAAGGGCAGTCCTTTAAGTGACCTGTCTATATTCACTTTTGTAATTAGTCTCCTCTCATGTTCTCTTAAATCCACTCCAGACTGGCTTTTTCCCATCACTGCTTCAATAAAAATGTCCTTGTCGTGTCACCAGTGATGTCTGTTCCTTAAGTCCAGTGGTCACTTCTCAGTCCTTGTCTTACCTGACCTATTGTGAGTATTTGACATCATTTGACTTAAGGTACTTAAAAAAAAACCTTGGCTTGCTGCCCCTTTTTGGCTTCTCTGTCAGGTTCCTTTGTGAGTTCTCCGTCTTTTGCCAGCCTTCTTAAGGTTAGAGCACCTTGGATCAGCCCGGTGCTCTTTTTTCTATTTGTACTCAATCCCTTGATGATCTCATCCTCCCTTTTGCTTCAAATTCTATTTATATACCCAGGGCTATCACATGGGCATATTCAGCCCAAACTTCCCTCCTTAATCCAGATTGAAATGTCCTGACATGGCATCATCAATGGGGTGTCTCAAAGACATTTCAAAACTCAGCTTCCCTTGTGCACTCCGACAATTCTGGACCCTCAGTCTTCTCTGCATCAGTTCATGGCAGCACCACTCTTGCTGTTACTCAGGCCAGAACCGTTGGGGTCACCTGTGACTCTTTCAAATCACATTTCAATTGTTGGGAAATTCTACTGGCTCAGCCTTGAGGAGATATCTAGAATCTAACCACTCCTAGTGAGTGCTCTGCTACAGTCCTTTCTTGCTTGGATTAGAGCGATAGCCCCTAACTATCCTCTGTTTCCACCTGTTGTTAACCTAAAGGCTGTTCTCACCGCAATAGGCAAAGTAATCTTTCTCAAGGCTTCATTTTTTTAGAGTGAAGACTCCCCTGTTTTCAATGTTCCCCACCAAAGTGATGCATTTGCTACAATTGAGGAACCTAGAATTTCACATCTTAGTCACCCAAAGTCTATAGACTACATTAGAGTTCACTCTTGGTGTACATTATGTGCTTTTGGACAAATGCATAATGACATGTATGTACTGTCACAGTAGCGTACATTTTTACTGCCCTAAAAGTTCTTTGTGTCCTGCCCTTCATCACCCGTCCAGCCCATGGCAGACTCTGATGTTTTCACTGTCTTCATACTTTTGCCTTTTCATTGTAGTTGGAATCACAGGTATGTGGCTTTTTCAGATGGGCATTTCTTACTTAGTCATATGTGTTTACATTTCCTCCATGTTTTAACGCCTTGATATCTCATCTCTTTAGCACTGAATAATGTTCCTCGTCTGGATGTACTATGCTTTATTTATCCACTCACCTACTGAAGGACATCTTGGTTGCTTCCAAGTTTTGGCAGCTATGAATAAGCTGGTAAAAATATCAGTGTGCGGGTTTCTGTTGGACACAAGTTTTCAACATCTTGGAGGAGATACCAAGGAGTGTGATTGCTGGATCATCTGGTATCAGTATGTTTAGTTTTGTAAGAAACTGCCAAACCAGTCTTTTTTTTTTAACATGACAGAGAGGGTTAGCTTTTATTTTGCACAGAGGTTTATGCAAGATGGGAGGGTTGCAGGAAAAGACGGAAGTGGACCCAGACAAGGGTTGTGCACCTTATTTTACGTGACGGAGTCACAAGGGGCACCGCTTTCTCAGTGGTGCACCTTATAGTTGGTACTGGTAGTAGATTTTAATTATTTTCCAGATGAAATTGAAGATGAAAAGCAAGTAAATATTCTTGCAAGGCATTTTCTGAGCTTCAAAAAATTTTTAAATATATTCATATCTCTCTTCTGCTCAGAATCCTGCAATGAACCTGTTTCATTCATAGCAAAAGTCAAAAGTCTGAACAACAGAAAACAAGACGCTACATGATCTGCTTCTCCATTCTCTCTGACATTATCATCAGCCCCCATTTACTCTTGCTGCTCCTTAAGCAAAGCAGATTCCTTTACTAGACCTTAGGGTCTTTGACCAGCTTCTCTCTCTGCATTACTCTTCCCACAGACACCTGTGTAGATCACTACCTCAACTCCATTCAAGCTTTGATAAAATATTGCCTTCTCAATGAAGCACCACCAGATACTACCCTGCTTAAAATTTCAAGCTGCCCCCCCATATACTGCATTCCATGCAGTATATGGAAAGAAAGGGGTGACAGTTCTGGGTCCTTTTCTGTAGACTTGGGGGTGCCTGGGGATGTGTCCCTCTCTATAATCCTCACAACAAGAACTCAAGCTATTTACAGGAGTACACCTATACTCCAAGAGAACCCTGCTGCATTTCTAGGTAGCAGCACGAGTACCTGTATTACCTTATTGCTGAGACTGTTACTAGCGGGAGGTAGCTGTGATGATGGAGAATGAATGGAGGCTCATCACATGCTCTTGAAGGGGCTATTCAGCTAGCAAGATCTAAGCCCAAAAAGTGGTTCTGCCCACCCAGTATCATCTGGCATTGCCACATGCATCACAAATGTTCACTCATATGTGGCCATGCCAAGAGTCATGAGACTGCTGCTCTGTGGCTCCTGGGCTGCTTTTTCGTTGCCTGCCCTATGTCCCGTTTTAAAGCTCAGCATTACTTGATGCTGAAGGAAGCCTCTGACACCTTGTGAGTATGATTGTCCACTTGAACCTAAGACCACACTACTTCTAGTACAGCAGAATAGACATTTTAATCCCACTTTCCTTTACCTCGATCTAATCTTTCTTTTTCCATGGCACTAAACACCTTTTGACCTTCTGTGTAATCTAGTTACTTATTGTTTATTGGTATGGACTACCTTCTCTCACTAGAAGATAAGATCCTCTATTTTCTTTTTCTACTAACATGTCCCAAGCATCTACTAACATTTTCTTTTTCTACTAACATGTCCCAAAACAGTGCCTGGCACACAGTAGATGCTCAATAAATATTTTCAGAATGAATGAGTGGACAGATATTTGTTTCATGTTTCTTCAATGCCAGGAATAGGGCATGGTGAAGAGAAGTAACAACATTTCTGTCTTTATATTGCTTAGAGCCTAGAATATTAATTATGGTCATTAGTGAGATTGGCCATTTACTGAGATCCTTCAGAAGGATTCCCAAGTCATATCACAAAAGAGAGTCCTGGAGAAATATTATTTCAAAGGGTGTGGGAGGTAGGCCTTAACGACTCTAATGTAAAAGAAAGCTTGAGTTTAATCAATTATATTTACATAGATGAAGGAAGACCAAGTGATTAGAAGTGGTTTTATATGTTGGCATTGCCCAATAAGAACCCCCCCAAACAAATTTCTCACACAATTTAGTCTTCATTTTGGTCCAAAGGAGATGGTAGTATAAAGAGTGTGACTCCATAGTGCTCAAAATAGCCTTAAACAAAACTAAGCAGGATTACTGCTAAAAGATCACGATAGTAAAACAATAAAAGGCTTTTAATTTTGCTTACAAGCCACTATTATCTATGTCAGTAACATTGTAGTCTTAGAAATTTTACTAAATGATTATTATCATTTGGTACAATGGTGTAATATCTAGTTATCTTGCATAAATTAATTAAAACAATAATCTTGTTTCTTTTAATACATGGCTAGCTACATAAAGTAGGAGAGATTTCAATCGATGCACGAGTAGGCTTTTGTAATTTTAAGTCACCACAGACAGATGTTACTAATAAAAGGTCTCTTACATTTTGAAATATCTTTGCATCTCCATGCTTTGCTCATGCCGTTCATTTGTCCTGAAATTGTCCTCCTTTTCTCGTCAAATCTTACAAACTCCTCCTTGTCCTCCAAAATCCAGCCAGAGTCACATTTTCTCTCTGGCTTTTCTTGGCACTGCCTTCCTGCCTCAGGTTCTCCCCCTTAAGATTAATTGATTAATTGTTTCCTCCCTTGTGTTTCCAAAGCATTGATCACACAGGGTGGGTGTTATTTATTTACCTGCCTCTGAGTTTCAAGGGCAGCTCCATCACCTTTATTGCTCTATGACTGGTATGGCCCCTGTCTCATAATATGTGTTCAATACAATACATAAGTATTCTGGTTGAAGCATTAGACTATTTTTACCTTGATCACTGTCTCGTCCAGCAAAATATTTATTTTACTACGAGTATTTTAGATAGATGCAAGGTGTTGTGTCATGTTGTAAGGATACTGAAAAAAAATCAGATGCCCAATTTCTTAAAAACTTAAAGTATAGTATAATAGGAAAATATAAGTCAAGCATAAAAGCAACTGTAATACATGGTTTGAAGTGTTCTTTTCAAAGAGTGTGAGTGTGTGTGTGAGAGAGATTACTTCATGGCAGGGCTCAAGAATGTCTTCTTATGGACTAGGGAAATATTTTTTCATATTAACTAGCTAAAAAGCTTTGATTCAAAACTATGATTCTTTTGATTTCTCACAAATTAGGTTCAATTCTATCCTAGATCTAAAAGTATATCTCCCTACCTCACTGGAGTTTGTGTACTATTGGATTAAAAGACGGCTCAGGGTTATACTGCTGTTTGCCAAACAATCCACCCTTAGAGTAGAGAAAGTTTCATTTGCCACCTTCAGGTATGAATTTAATCCATTCCCTAATTTTTAGAAAACACTTTAAGTGATAAGTCCTTCACATGTGACTACAAGTTATTTCTAGTTGCTCTTAGAAATAGGCTGTAGAAAACTTTTGACAAAAGTTAACAATAATGTCATTGAAGTGAAAAATCCAAACCATATTTAACTGAGAATTTTTTAAAACTTTGATCAGTACAGTTAAATGATCAGCATTTAATTGTATGAAAGCCAATAACATTTTAAAAAGTTGGTAAATTGCATTTTTCCTCTTTAACGCATAAGATGTTAATAGTTTAAGCGATCACAGATGTGCACTGATGGTCACCAGCAGTTTTTCTCTTTCCGTTTAGACTTGGATTATCACTTGCATTTATCTTCAACTGCTCCTCTTTAATCCTCCCGTCAGAACTACAGGAATCTGCATGAACCGGGTCACTGATGATGTGAAGGACGTTACAAAACTGGTAAGTAAGGAATGCTTTCCATGGTGGTGACTCTTTTTCTTAAGCTTTTTCAAAAAGATTTCATTTCTTCTCACTCCAAATTGATGTTTTTCTAAGACAAGGAAAGAAATCATTGAGTTAAGTAAAGGGCTTACAGAGAACGCAGGTAGGAAGATACTCAAGGTCACAGGGAACCTGCTGGTAAATGTGGCCCATGGCACGGGGCTGCATTGGAATTGTTTCTTTGCTGGTCTTTTCATCTCCTTCACAGGTAGTGAAGGAAGCCGGAGAGTTCCCCGAGTGCCGATGTGCCTGTGCCAGCTTGTTTCCCATCAGCTCTTTAGTGGGTTCCGCAGTGTATCTTACTTCCCCTCCATGTGCCCTCCTGCCTTTCTCCAGCAAGCCTAACCAGAGGGGATCCGAGACGGCCATTCTCCCCTTTCCAGCAGCTGGAAGACCCTGTCGCACGTGGGGGCACGTTTGCTCCCTCACTGAACGTAGCCGAAAGAGGGATTTGTTGCTGAAATGTTGACCAGCCTCGTCTCCCCCATTTGTTACATTGGAACTCTCCCCTCAGCACAAGCCTTATCTCACTGGTGCCTCTGGGCATTGTGGCTTCGTGCCAGGCTTCTCTTAAAGTGCAGACCACAGATGCAGAGGACATAATGCCACATATAGAATGGAATGCACTGTTCCCAACTGTGACGTTCTCAGGGAGATTTTATGTGCTCATTTGAGTTATAGAGTGTGGTTTCTGGATGAACAACATTTGACAAGAATTTGTTAAGTTCCTGGTTCAAAATGGCCAAGGGCACTTAGTTATTTGAATGCTGTTTAGGGAACAGAGGTGATGTGAGGCTAAGAAAGAAATGAGGGTTCCCATAACATATAGAAAAGGTAGAAAAGTAACAGTTGGCATATTTATCTTTTGCACTCTTGATATACATTTCCCGGTTTATAGATTTTACATTGGGTTCACAGCTGAACTTCAAAACAGAAGTTCAATGCTATGGTCAAGAGTCCTGCTAGCTTAGCCTCAGTGCAGAACTCGGAACACATACCCACATACACAGACACGCACACATGATTTATGCAGATTTCTTAGAAGGACATCCAGAGGGGGTAGGTTTAAAAGTGTTCTTTGATGCAACACCTGAATATGTAGTAACGTGTTTTATTTGGGGGACCCAAGCAGTGAAACACTTGCTTACCATATGCCCGGTCAGTATTGAGTATAGCGATGGAGGGGGAGGAAGAGGGATTAAAAAAAACAGATCCTTGTCCTTTTCTTCAAATTGCTTATTAGTTCATGACCCAAGAAATTATATTAAAGAGAAAATGTATGGTCATATTCTAAATTTCATGTTGGTAGAAGGCAGTCATTAAATGTTTGTCTGAGGAAGGAAGTAAGGATGTGCTTCACTGTGGGAAGAATTGTAAGCACCTGTGGTGTTTATTAAAATTTCAGGTGTTGGGGCCCTGGTGATGCCATAGGGCTGAGGAAGGGCTCCAGACATCTATGTTTTTGGGACATTTCTGAAGGGAAGTTTAAGAACTGCTGTAGAGGGTCTCTTTTGTCAAACCTTAGAGACCAAAGTGTCTTACCTTTGATTTCATCTCAGTTTTTGTTGACTAGTATTATCTATGTTGTATAGATTTAAATGGATGTCAGATTAATATGAGTCTCCAACATATCTTAAATTGGTCATGACTTGGTAAATGAGCTCTCGTGGGGCCCCTAGAACAGTTGTGGGGCTGAGAACGGGCTGGAGAGACCTGCTGTCATCCCGGGGAGCAATTCCAAATATGTGGGCAATGAAGCAGAGTTGGAAGGTGATGGTGTATCTGACCACAGGCCAAGCATATCCAAGAGTAACATGGTATTTAAGAAAAATTACTTTTTGCTAAGTGTTTGAGGAGGACTACTTAATGAGCACCACGTCCTGTGAAAATTCCTATCAGTATTTTCAAGTGGCATAGGTAGGTATGATAAGCACCTTCCTAGATTTTCCACCCTTGTCTTTAACCACCTGCTTGTTTTCACTCTGTTACCTGTGTGTGGATACAATGGAAATGGCGAGAAGCACTAAAGAGAAAAGTGCTCAGAAAGGGATGCTTATTAATATTGACACTAAAATAGAATTCCTTGCCCCAAGGACAACAGTGAAATCATTACACTGAAAGGGGGTTTTATTTCCCTTCTAGCAGCTGACTCAGGGAAAATTTTTTTTGATTTCAAGAGTTGATCTAGTGAAATTAGCATATTTACTTCAGATTATTGAAAAAGTCAAGTTAATAAAAAATAGAACTCAGAAGATCACTTCTACCTGAATAAAGACCTACATAATGCACAGCCTGTATTCATAGAACAGGAAACAGGAACATATAAAATAATTTCTGATCTCAAAGTGGGAGGTTAACTTCCCTATGAACATATGAATGCATATCACTAGCACACAGAAACAACACATAAATACATGCCATTCAAAGGATCTCATGGTATAACATCGAACCTAACCTATGCGAATATATTGGTTAAGAGAATGGATTTCAGAATCAAGCTGACCTGAGTTTTAAATCCGAGTTCTCTGACCTTCAATAAGTAACTACCTTTCTAAATTGCAGTTCCTAGTTGCCAGTTTGGGGGTTAGATTAAGTAAGAGAATGCATATATAATTCTACCCCAGTTATTATCACATAACTTTTTTGTGCCTTGGTTTCCTCATTAGTATAATCAATTAATAGTGTTTTACCTCACAGAGGGACTGGGAACATAGTGAGTACCTGCTAAATAATTAGCTATTAGTGATGATGTTAATGATCATCCAGATCACTGGTTTGAGTGATCATAGGATACCAGAGCTGAAAAGGAATGTAGAGACATTATATACAAACTATTTTATAAGTAAGGAAACTGAGTCCCACGAGTGTTGAAGGTGAGCTCCTGGTGCTATTTGCAGAGTTGTGTCTTCTAGCACAGTGGTTCTCAAAGGGGCTCCTGGGCCCACCAGTCACTCTGCTTCTACCTACGTGTCTGGGTTGCTGAATGAGAAAACAGAATCAAACAGGAAAAATAATTGAAAGTGACTGCTTTAAACCAGTGCTTGTGGGGTATGATTTGAGGCCTATCTCTTAGGGTACTTACTAAAAGAACAGCTACATACAATCTCTCAGGGTATCTATTAAAAGCATACCTGTCAGGGCCCCACCTCAAAATACTGAATCTCCCCTTGTGGATATGGGGTGGAGCAACCTTAACATTTCCAACTAGCAGCCCAGGTGATAGTGATTTGCAGATGTCCCAGGACTGCTTAGGCCATATTTCTTCTTATGGATTGTTTCATGCTTGAAAAGAATCTGTGTTCCCATCCTTAAACTAAAATTCATTAATTTTACTAATTCCAACAGCAACATTAGTGACTTTTAAGTTTTAAGAGTATAGAGAATCACTGCCTCTCTCCAAAGAACAGTGAGGCGAAGCATCTTGACCTCAAGCCCATGGGGCTGTTTGAATACCCATTCAGCTAAGACCTAGCTAGGTGACCTTAGACAAATAAATCCCTGAATTTTTCCAGGATTCAATTTCTGGCTTTTAAAATAAAGAACAAGAAGAGCATGATCAATAGTTCTTAATGTAGGATTTTAAACTTCAAACCTTTGCAAGATGGAACTCCAAATTATACCTCTGTATGCCTTATGTGAATTTTTGAGAAGAGGTTGCCTGGCTTTCGTCTGCTTCCCAGAGAAGCTTCTGACCCCTTGAAAAGACAAGAACTACTAAATTAGATAACTCTGGAGGCCCTCTTTAGCTCAGAAATTCTTTTATTCCATATGATACTTTCTGAGGTTGCATCTTTTGGAATAATTCAGAGACGTCTTCACTAAAAGAGGTTCTGTATAATGAGAGAAATTTACTTTGCAGGCCAAATCTTGGTAACTGGTATTTGCAGGAAAGAAAGTGGGTTGAACATACATTTTTGCCTTGTACCCACAGTAATTTCTTCAACTCCAATCAATCTTTTGCATTCTCTGCCAGTTCCTCCTTTGCATTAGGTGGCAACTTGTGCTCTGCCCACAAACCTTAAGTTTGTTTGCTTGTGGTGGCTCTCATGTCACAGAAGCATATGACTTAGGACTTTACTGTCATATCTTTAAAAATTTCCTCTTGGACATTTTGTTCTACCCTCATGGTCCTCATGGTTTTCATCTGAAATCCTTCTGGCATGTTTGCTCAGCACAACAGTTCATCTATTTATAGAATGTTTTGCTTTGTTTCTAAAATAATGCAGCAAGGCTTTCAGATGGCAAATGCAGAACTACCTAAGGCTCAAGGACCTGGGGAGAGGATGAACCAAACTAGAAACTTGTATCTAGACAACAGTGAGGCTGCATCTTTTCATGACTGTGTTAATGAAAGGAGGAGTCCAGACATTTGAGGTTATTTGAATTAGTTTCCGTTTTACTTCTTCATTCTGTTGGCCTCATTTGTAATGACGTTTTTCCTTTATCTGGAGGAATTTAATTAAAGGTGACTTTACTGATTTTTAAGAACCTTTTTAAGTATCTATTGAGTGGTTATTTGTCTTTCTCAAAATACTTCGAGGCAGGTGGCTACCCCAGCCATGCTGAAGCACTCAGTATTTAAATGTGGCATTTAAATCTCATTTAGTCTTTGCAAATCCACTAGCTATATTCTATTATGATTTCCTTTAACACACATGGAAATCGAACCTAAAGTAGATCAAGTTCCTTGCCTTAGATGTCTGAGTTAGCATGTGGCAGGGCCTGGACCCAGCCTGAGCCGTGTTCCCGACATCAGTGCTGTGACTCCTACAGCAAACTAACTGCTTCGAAGGAAGGCCTTCCAGGTTCCAGGCCAAAGGCTCCCTCTGCCCTAATGAACTTTCCGCAATGATCAGCAGCCATCAGAGCTGGGTTATCATAAGATTATCTGTGCTTTCTGAATGCTATTCAACATACCATAATGCTTAGAAATAATAATAATATTCATGAACTGAACA